AGGTGAATATCCCTTATCTAAAATGCGTGGAACCAGAGGTGTTTTGGATTTTGTGGAATACTTACATAAGCATAATGAATTGTCATGGGGATGGGACCCGAGGCTAAACATAAAATTCAAATTCAAATTGAAAAAGTCAATTCAGTTGTTTATTTCATTTATACCGTATTCACAGAACCTGAAGGTAAGTATATACAGTATTTTTAGTGTGCCTGGGTTTTGACTGACCATCACATGAGGTCAAGTGTGGAATTTTCCATTTGAGCCCTCTGTCAGTGCCTGATTTTGTAGCATTTGGAATTTGAGATATGTGGATTAGAAATGTGTGACCTGTACTTCAGGGAGCACGCCTAACCAATGTGCCTTTCACTGTGCCTGTCACACAGTGAAGGAATTCAGAAGGGAACATAGACCTGATGCCCATCTTCACGGTCCTTCTGGGCCAAGCTCATTTACTTATAAGAAAGGCCAGAAAGCATCTGGCTGCCATTGTTCTTACAACTACCCTGTGTTTCTAGTAAATCATGACACTCAGCAAGGAAAGGAATAAAGCAGTTTTACTTTAGAAATACTCTAAATCCATTTAATGATAAAAAAAAGCATAATTTTAAGTAAGCTATTTTTTTAAGATTGTGGATTAAAGCGAAAATAGCTTGCTTTTGAAACAGAATTGGACTATAATATAAGAAACAAGCTTAGCCTACACCCCGGAGTCTCTGTCCCGAGAATGTGGCCGGACTTCCCTCCTCCTCTTGGCTGTGAGCATCCTCACTGTAATGCCCTCTGACTAAGTGACAAGGAAGTAACTCGAATTGTCTGTTTCCTCCGAGCAGATGGCTCCTTGTTTTTCACAACATATGATTGTAAAGTCAGTAGGATATTTTAAGAACCCGCTGAACAAACACACCAACTTGTTTACCTAAAAGTGCTGAATGAACAACCCATTACACCTGGCCCCTGCATCCCACTTTCTTCCAGACCAAGGTTGAGATGCTGTAGCTCATTTTACCATGCTATTGGTGAGGCTTCTCCAAGGGAATACAAAATGTTAGTCTTTGATGTCTTCAGGTCAATATAATTTTTAAATGTACTGGTTTTCTTTTGTAAGATTCATGGCTGTGAATTCCTTTATTTTAGAGGCATTTATTGAGTTGTGCCATATGCAAGATACCCTGCTAGGCAAGTTCTTTCCAATCTGCCTAGACTTGAAACTAAGTGACTTTCACTGTCTCCCCAAAGTCTAGAATAGTTCCTGGCATCCAGTAGAATCCTAATACATTTTTCAATGAATGAATGACACACTGAGACAAGCCATCCTAGTATTTCCCCCCACGGGGAATTCATATTGTGATAAAAAGCAGTATAAAGACCTTCACCCTTGGCAATTATTATCTGCTCACTAATTATTTCCAGGATAGTTATTTTCAGAGAGTTCCACAGGACTGACACAGCTTCACAGGAAATCAGTTAATTAACCACCAGATGTTGAACGGACACTTACTTTGTGCAATTCTCCCTTCTTGGACCACTGGGCCATTCAAGGGAGTGAGATATAGTCTCTGTTTCCAAAGAGCCTCTCCATTAACATAAAGTTAACAATATAATACAGTAGTGAGTCCAAGAAGGTTGTTGGCATCCAGGAGAACTAAAAAGAGGTCATAGGAACAATTTTGGAAAATTACAGATGGATGACTGGGATTGGGCCTTCAAGCCAACATGGAGAATGAAAGAAAAGGCATAATAGGAACACAGACGTGTGTGTGTGTGTGTGTGTGTGTGTGTGTGTGTGTGTGTTAGAAGGTGAGGGGAGAATAGCATGAACAGAGTAAGGAGGAAGGCAGAGCACAAAAGGATGCCAAGAGTTCACTGCATTTAGTGCAGTTTGAGTCAACTGGATAACTTTATTGAAGGAATACTATGTACCAGCCATTGTAAGAGGTAGTAGGTATACAATGGTTAACAAGACTGATATGGTCCCTGGATGGCTAGCCAGCAGAAGACACAGATGGGTAAACAGACGATTACAATACAGTGCGATAAGTGCTGTGGTAGGGAAAAGTCCAGGTGTTACGAGAAGGACATGGATTGGACCAGTGCAGAAGAGGAAGTATGGAAAGTTCTTGGAAGAAAAGATCTGAAATTGACACTGAAGTCAAAGTAGAAATTAGGAGGAAATGTGAAGGTAGCTTGTAGGGCATCTACCCTAGAAGAGCGAGCTTGAAGGGCCTCGGGATCTGAAGCTGGCGGAGGCTTGCTGAGCACAGTGGGAAGGAGTGCAGGGGAAGGGGCTGCGGGCAGAAGCAGTGGACAGACTTGGCATCTCTCATTTCCCAAGAAGCTTGGACTTTATCCTAAAAGCAGTGGTGACCCTGAGGAATCTTAAGCAAGGGAATGAAACAAACAGGCCTTTTAGGTAGGTAGCTATCAGCAGGGTGAGATGTCCCTGAGAGGAGAAATGGATGACAAGAACAAAAGAAAAATATGGAGTTCTTGAAGGTGTATCCCCAACACAATGCAAGAGCTAAATGAAGAATGAATGAATGAATGAATGAAATAATCAACCAATCAATCATTTAGAACAGAACTGAAAATATGAGACTTGAGGTGGAGGTAAAATTTGTCTGTGTGCACATAAGGGTGGAGGGAACACTAGAACACTGATGTGTCCTCAGCTCTTGCATCTCCACAGACAAATGATCACAACAGGTGACAGTGGAGTGGGGCAGTTCAGTGGAAGCTGCTTGAATGTTGGAGTCCAAAGACCTGGTCCGAGCCTTAGTTTGGTCATTTATTAATTGTGAGATACGACTTAATTACTTGGACCCTCGGGCCCCACATCTACTATGCCTGCTTTTTTCTTATACAACAGCAGAGCAGCATCACACTCTGTGTATGCTTCTATTTGCAGGAGGAACGTGGGATCTGGGCCAGGATCAGCAGCCCATTGGCGTTTCTGATTCATCCACCATAAAAAGCAGCTAGTGCAACTGGCATGACAGTGGTATTGTGGTTGAGTTGAAAGGAACTAGTAGCCAGTGTTGATCAAACTGGGCAGGTGACTCTCTTGTCCGTGGAAAGCCTGGCAGTGAAGTGAAAGAGGTGGGGAAAGGATAGGAAGAATCCGTCTGCAGCTGTTTCCAACGAAAGCACTGGGGACAGAAACAAATGGCACAGCTGGAGCCTAGGAGTCAGTGAGGGGGGCCAAGGGCAGCTGGAGGGGGCTGAGGGACAGACACTGTCTACACTAGGACTCAGTTCCCCAAAGCTCACTGCCCTTTCATGAGTTCATCTTACCAAATTAATGTTGCCAACGCAAGATCTTAGAAAGCAGAACTTAGGCAAGGTCGAAGCCAAGAGGCCTTCTCACAGATGTGGGCTGTACCTAACAGCCCAGGGCCAGATGACTTAAGGAAAGAGACGACAAGGGCGGGAATCATGGGTGCAGGAGTGGTGTCCTCCTTGGATCTGGAGATTTGGAAAGAGGAGAAGCCTGCTTGGAGTGTGAAGTGGAGAAATGCAGGAAGAATTATAATGTCCATGGATCCAGGCATGTTAAACCAACAAATGGAGGGGGGGGTGGACAGAAGGTGAAGAACAGCCCTGTAAGAAGGTTCTGGAAGTAGGGCTAGTGAACCAACCTAGAAATACTTTTTGCCATGGGTTTCAGAAAATAGGGCAGGTCTGCATTCCTTGGTACCCTCAGGAGATCAAAGAGATGAGGCCCAAAGTGGCTTTCACTGTGAACACTGAAGTCCCCCTCCTTGCAGCATCTCCCATCTCATCCCCTGCCACTTCCCCAAACTTTCCTGTAAGTTCACACCATCTGGTCCATCCTAGGCAGAGAGTTGCTTTTTCTCTGCCGAAAAGTTGGACACAGTGCAACATCAGTGAACCAAGGAGAAATCCATTAAAACAACAGCTTCCTTAAGAAATGTGACTTTCAGTTTGTGGACAAAGTTCCAAGTCTTTACGTCATCTTCATCAGAGGATTCCGTAGCGTTTTTATGAAACGATACTGAGGGGCTGGGGTTGTGGCTCAGTGGCAAAGCGCTTGCCTTGCACACGTGAAGCACTGGGTTCAATCCTCAGTATCACATAAAAATAAATAAACAAAATAAAGATGCTGTGTCCCTTTATAACTGAAAAAAAAAATTTAAAAACCCAATAGTTGACTAAATTATTTTCCATCAACACAGAGTCATCCCTCCGCAGTTGGCTCTCATCTATCCTCTGCAAATCAATCAATCAACCACCACAAAAAAGCCACTTCCAGTTTTTCCTGGAAATTCCAACGCAAGGGGTCGTGAAATCAAGTTGACTAAATAATTCATTCCCTGCAGTGACGGCTGAAATGGCTTGGCCCGGCATCAGGGTCACTGGTTATCTTGTGCTCTCTACACACCAATAATAATCCATCCAAGAACATCTAAGGCAGACATCAGAGTCTCTTCATCAAGACTGAAATCCGTGTGTCTCCTGTTCCCTAATACATTTCACCATCCACATTGTTTAATTGAGCCTTTTACTACAAACGGTTTTAGGCTCTGATGCTAGACAGGAATTTGAAGCATGCATTGGAGTATTTAATGGCATTAATTTCTGGTGCCCACAGATTTCTGATGCCAACTTCACGCCACAATCCAATAATCTTGCAAAATAAAGAAAATACCAGGACATGAAATGCAACACAGAATTCTCCAGTACTGCACGCAAAGTAGTTCCCTGTCCTGCTGATGCTGACGAGTCATAACATACCTCCCTATATACAGATCCTTAGATGTCACAATCAATTAAGAAAATAAAAGGAAGAATAAGACAGGCACTTCCGGATGGAAGAACTGCTCTAACTTTTCCAACCCAACACGTTTATTTGGCAACCGAAAGCTCTTCAATACATCCCAAGTTAATTTTAAACTCCCATCTAATCATGACAAATGATATGCAGTCCTTGTTGTGTGGTTTCATTTTAATCAGAAGGCATCAGTTTAAATGATTCCTACCTGGAAATATGGACGGTCTCTTTTTGGGGCGCCTCAGGTGAAAGGGTTCCAAGTTCTTAATGTTTCTTTGAAGTTTTCCTCTAATGTCATTTCCTATGAGGAGTTCAGGTGGCAGGCTGCTCCGTCGGGAGGATTTAGGATCATTTTGAGATGCATTTAGTTTGTTCTTCGTTCTGGAATATAAATTGCTGTCATCAACTGCCATTGTAGTAGATTCATTGGAGACTCGGAACAAAAATCCCAAAAGCCAAACCCAGAGGCAGCCTCTGCCACAGCCTCCTCCACCCAGACTCGGAGGTTCTCATGCTTTCCGGTGCACTTGTTTGGGAAGCTTAGCAAGTTGATGGGCGTGGACGGGAACAGGTGTAGAATTACTAAGTAGCCACTCCTCTCAACAGTTAATAGCACCGGGGAGAAAGATCCCCCCAAAATCATTAGGTACAGAAGACTGGGGAATCTGAACAGAGGTAACACACATCCGTGCTTCTGTGGATGGCAATAAAAGTGGTGTCAGGCTTCTAGTATGAAATACCTGTCTTAATGGTGCAATAAATTAAAAAATAAATAAATAAAAGCAACCACGACTCACTATTTAAGAATGAATGCCAGTGCAAACTGTGAGACTGGTATTTTTTATTTCTCAAACTCTTTCTGGAGATTTTGAACCATTTTTTTTTTTTACATTCTCTCTTATCTTTGTGTTTCAAACTACATACATACAAATGGCCTTTTTTATTCTTATCTGGCCAGCAGCCAAGGAGCTGGCTGGAAGAGGGAGATGAGAGATGGCGGGTGATGACCAGGAAGGAACCGGTTGTGGGTGTGTGTGTCAGGCAGCAGTGCTGGGAACCCAGGATGGCGCTGACCCACCCTCCCATCCTGCGCTCCACCTGGCGGATGGCTTCTCCAGAAGTTCACCCTGCCTGGCAGAGGGGCCGGAGGTCTAGAAAACAGGCGTTCACTGCTGACAGGATGAGGGCCCCCATGCAAGAGATTTAAAAATAAATAAATAAATGCTGTTATCCTGTGGGGAGGCTGCGTAGCTTCCAGCTAAAATGGTCAGTTGGTTTGGTGGTCTCAGAAGAACCAGCTTCCTGCTTGACCTGGGCACATTTTTTTTTTCTTTTCCTTTTTTGTATCTTTTATTTCCTTCTCCCTTGCTCTATGGTATGTGGCAATGTCCTACATTCTTTTTCTTAACTGACTGCAGAAATCATGATTCTATCATTTATCTTCCCCAGCCATGCCCCAGGGCTGTGTCCAGGCAGTCTCTCTCCAGGGGTGCGCACACATACACACACCACACACACACACACACACACACACACACACACACACACACACACCCATCTCCTGCTATCTGGCTGCAGTGTGAGTCAGAAGATAAAGAAGATGAGATCTGTCTTTTCCCAGTGCTGGGGATCCGCAGACACATACATTTTATTGTAAAGGATTTGTGTGTTGTTTTAGAAATCACTGTTTACTTGTGTTTCCTGGATGCCAAACAGCTTGTATTAAATTAAAATGTGAGAGCTGGATCTCTTTACCTAGTCAAAAGACACATTGCTGTGCTAACAGAAGTTTTATTCTCTATCTTCCTTATGCCCTTTTAGCAATGGGTCTTCAAAGTAGGACAGATTTCTGAAGATAAAAGCATGTTTTTACGAGTAGGTCCTGATTAGAGTTGCTATGATAATTTAGCAATCATTTTCATATTAGATCATTAGGTTATTATTTTTTTAACCAATTCTGAGAATCACCTGTATTGGTCCCTCCCAGGACTTAGAACTACTTTGTCCAACTGAAATGTATCATGAACTTCTAAAACCAAACAAGTGACTTGTATACCACCATTTTTTCAAAGCCCAGGAGACTGCTTGAAACTCCTTTACCTTATTGAAAATATATTTTTCTTCTAGTAAAGAAATAAAGAGTAGAGCACTTAAGAAAGTTTGAGGTAATGACTTTATAGGAAAAAAAAATACATTCCCATACCCAAACCCCAAGAACTGTGTTTAATTTTTTAAACACATAACAAGGTAGAGTCTTAGGGTATAAAAGGCTAGACGCCAAAAAGGAGAAATGTGGCAACAGTCAGGCACTTTGTTCAGTGTCTTTCTTTCCCAATCCATAGTATTATCATAAGGCTAAATAAGAGCATATATGAGATGAAATAGAAGTCTCTTAGGAAAAGTATTATCATACATAGAGTGTGCATCAGTTACATCTGTATTTTGTGCACATATAATTTAGCTTCTGTCTTTAAGAGGCTGCTGGCAGCACAGAGTGAAGTACCTGTGCATCTGGAACGCTTCGTAATAACAGCTGTCATTCACCACATGCTTAATGGCAGCCAGGTCCTATGCTAAGCCTTTGGCATGCATTATCTCACTGATTTCTCCTAAACCCTGTTTTATAGATGGGTGCACTGAGACACAGAGTCAAACATCTAGGAATTGGCAGGAGTGGGTGGAGAGAAATTAAACACAAGATTTTATTTGACTATAAAACTCTTGTTCAAGTTTATGCTTTAAACTGCACCAATATACTACTTGTTAGATGTGCATGACATCTACAGGGAATTAAAAATCCTTCTCTGGTTTCCTAAAACGATTCTTAACCGCAACAACTGTAACTAGGACTTCCCTGTGTAAGGGAGCTGTCAGAGGGCTTTGAGGTACCTGGAATGAAAGTGGAAAAAAGCAAAAGGAGAACTCAGAACTTTGTAGGTGTGTACCAGAAAGTAATTGCTTTAATAGTAAACGCTCCATGTTAAGGCTTTTCATATTAGAATGCACTTTTATATAACAGCATTATATTGTCCTGAGATTTAGATTACTTACACTATTTTGGAGGTAATTTTAGTGCCCTGATCCTCTAAAAATTAAATGATGTAAGAGAGGGTCAGAGGGATTCATGAGGTGCACTCAATCCCTCTCCTGGTCAATGCAATTCCCCCTCAAAAGGAATATAAATCATGAGCTGGGGATGTGGCTCAAGCGGTAGCGCGCTTGCCTGGCATGCGTGCGGCCCGGGTTCGATCTTCAGCACCACATACAAACAAAGATGTTGTGTCTGCCGAAAACTAAAAAATAAATATTAAAAAAATTTTAAAAAAAAAGGAATATAAATCAGATAGGAATCTAGTTCATTTAAAATATTTCCTAAAGAGAAAAGTGAGGAAAGTTTGAATTCACTATTATTAAAAAGTTAGGGTTATATAAACAAAGAATAATTTTTATTCATCCAAAAGTGACATTAAGTCTATGAAAAAAAAGTAAAGCAAACCATCCTTTAAAAATATTTAAATTGGCTGCAACATGAATAGCAATCAACCAGAGAAAATTCAGCTTTCTTTGGTCTTAACAAGAGTATTCATCGGTTGCAATGTTAAGTCTGCCTTCCCTCTTTATAGTAATAGCCAAAAGGAATTTCACTCTTTTTCCAGACAGTCAGAAATCTGAGCTTAGAGGTACCTTAACATTAACAGCATAATTAAGTAAGTATAAGTGTATAATTAGACATTTTCTATTTTAATAAGCATTGTGTTTTAAAGGTGTCCATTCTCCTATAAGTTCAATAAATTGATCTCTTTTGAAATGCTCTTATTTCTATCCTTTGAGAAGCTGTGTATTTTACATTGAACAATGTTGTCCTCCCAAAGCATTTTATTCTTCCCATAGTGAGACATTATCTTGTTTCTCTTAGAATGTTCAGCCCATCAAAGACATTTCTTGAGTTTGTAGCTATGGATTCCTGTGTGTGGGTAGCTAGTACAGAGAATTTCTCAATTATTATTGCTTTTTTATTGAGAGAGAGACAGCTGCAACTGTATTGAAAATGATACAACTTCACAATTGTAGACTTCTTTCTCATTGTCACCTTTACAGAAATGATCCACCCGTGGAAGTTTCAGATCTGTTGGGATTCACCAAATTAGCTTCTGAATTTTGATCTGACCCATATGTGATGCACATCGGCAAACATTTCTTATTTTTTTAACTATTTATTCAGTTAAACGATTTATTTATTTATTTAACTATTTAAACAGAGACGGCCTATTATCCAGTGGGTTTGCCATCAGAAGAAAATAATAGCATAAAATGTCAGAATGATGAATATCATCAAGTTGGGCAGTTCAATGGATGTCTGTCTCTGAAAGGTTGCCAGCCCCCTCTTATTGGCTGCATAACTTTTCTTAGTATGGGTAACGATGCCTCTAGTAATATCTGTGGTGTGTTTATGGCCAAGGACAGCTTTCCTCAGTTCCTAAAAACATCATTAAGATGTTCAGTACTTATCTCATTGGCTTTCAATAGCAGTAAACACTAATGACTAGGGCTTCCCTCTTAAAATTCTCTGCTCCTTTGGCTCTCCATAATACTATCACTGTGTGTGTTTCTTCCTCTGTTTTGGGTCTCTTCTGCTCAGGTTCTTCAGGGGCTCCTTAGAAGTATCTTTTACTCCTATCCTGTTTTTGGCAAGCCTATAATGAGCATCTACTATGCGTCTGACACCATGCTAAGTTCAATGTCTGGCCTCGGGAATCTCTTCATCTAGGAAGGAAGCAGACCTATAATAAACAAGTTACTACAGCACAGGGTGACCAGTCTGTGCAAAGGTGACACTGCAAATCTACTTGTTACTTTTTCCTGATAGACAGGAGATGGGAACAAAAAGGTTCTCAGAGAAGGACTGAGTTCACAAGGCAGATGTGGGGGTCTTGTGCACAGGTACTAGGCTGTGACAAGCACTAATGTCCACGGATGGCAAGAAGTTGCCCTCCGTGTCCACAGGCTCCACATCCACAGACCCAGCCAGCTGTGGATGGAAATTTTTTTCCAGTGGCATCTGTACTGAACATGTACAGACTTTTCCTGGCCATTATTCCTGACACAATGCAGTATGATAATTATTTACACAGCACTTACGTGCATCAGGTATTACAAGTCATCTATAGATGTTTTAAAGCATCTGACAGGATGTGCACAGGATCTATGCAGGTTCTGTGCCAAATTATATAAGGGACTGAGCATTTGTGGATTTGGGGATCTGTGGGGGTCCTCAAGTCAACACCTGCAGATACTGAGGATCCACTGTACAGCAATCCTCTGTCTTCAGGGAGGGCTTGGCAAAGAAAGCACACACATTGGAAAGACAAGATGGAGCACTT